AATATATATATATATATATATATATATATATATATATATATATATATATATATATATATATATATATTTTATACAACCGATATATAACATATCAATAAAGTTGGTGGCCAATCTATGGATGCCAATGCCAATCTATGGATAATATATCAATAATATCCTGAGGTTTCCTCCTTTCCCCAACCAATTGCTCTCACCGGTCGGTTTGGCGTCTCCTTATATTTTAACGTGGCAATAGTCGGTGATTTCCTCTCATTTGTTTAGTATATTGTGGCAACCACACTCCTACCAATTTAGAATAAGCATTCTAACACCATTGTGCTATTTAATCTCAACTTGGCTCCAATTATTGAATGCAATCTGTGCGGAATTCAGACACCAATACGATAAACAACAACAACAACACTGTATGATCTCTCTTCTGCAGAATGAGGGCCCTTTGGCCAACTTTAGAGATAAGTGGAGAATCCTCTCATCTCCCCCACACTGGTTGGACCTGTCTTCCGTCCCCAGCAGTGGTTTCAGAACAGTGGAGTCCATTCCGAACGACAGCCTCATATTATTCGATGCATCCCCCCCGGCTTCACCCTGCAACTTGGCACCAGAAAATTGATGGATTACCTCCACCAGCCAGCAAAACAAGGGACTGATACAGTGAGCACGCAAGACATGGGAGGTTTGGTTGCAGAGAAGTCCAGCTGCGACGCCTGTCCCTTGTCCTTGCCTTCTTCTCATCACCGCATCTTTATCCCCTCCCTGCTGCATGCTGAATGCTTTAGGAAGCTGTATGGGGGGATGGAATTTGGTGAGGTTCGTTTGCTTTTTTCTTGGCCTGTGTGCAGAACCTATGTCCCACTGGTACCTTGGCGTGCCCACCTTCTTCTCTCTCTTCGTCAGCTCCATGTATGCTGCAGGTGGCTTTCGGCAAAGCCATAACTGGGAAGTACCAATCCCCAGAATCCAGCTGTTTTGGACTTTCCATCCATTTACCCCTTCCTTCTCTCCCCCTCCATTTGTTTGCCACCTAAAAACAGATGCATGCAGAGCTTCAAGTTTCTTCTTCTGAGCAATCAAAGTATGATCTGTTGTTTCATGACTCTTTGTCGCTCGTCCAAGTTTCATTAGTTCATGAAACCTGTTTGTTCCTCGTCCAATTAGCTCATGAAACTTGCGAGGGACAAAGAGTCATGAAACAGATCATACTTTGATTGCTCAGAAGAAGAAACTTTGATTTCATCTTCCTTCATAATGATACATGCTAATAATATATGGGAATGGCTGCGAACATATACCTCATAGTCTCTGTACACACACACACACTAAACCACTCTAATCTAACACCTAATACTACCCAAAAGAGGCGAGAGAGAGAGATGATTGCGATACAAATTCCTCAAAACATGCTAAAAACACTCTCCTTGGTTGGGTTTATGATGTCGCGGGCAGTGCCAGGCCGAGATCGGCCGTGCACGCGTCCGCATCCCAGCAGCTGAGGTGGCGTCGCGCCTCCGGAGCGGGCCGAGGAGCCGGCTCGGAGGAGACCGGTTCGAAGCCGAGGGTGAGTTCGAGGCCGACCTCGTCCTCATCGGGCTGCTCCGGCTCGCCCTGGCTCACGTGCGACGCCTCCTCCGCGGTGTCCGCGGAGGACATGCACTCGTTCTCCCGGCACTCCCCGTCTTCTCCCCCGGCAGCGGCCGACGGCGTGACGGGCACGGTGGCGTCGCTGGCAACCGACTCGTGGCTCCGGGCGCGCTGGAACTCGGGCGGGGGGGTCGCCGCCCGGGCGGGCTTGGACCCGGAGCGCTTGAACCGGGAGCGGGGCTTGTTGACCTTGTGCAGCTCCGCAGCGGCCTTGGAGGCGGCGGCGGCACCGGGGCCCTTGAAGACGTGGCGGATGTCGTAGGCCTTGAGCGGCGGGGCGGGGATGGAGGCCACCGTCTCGGAAGGGATCTGGACGATGGGGGATCCCTTGAGCACGGCCTCCACCGCAGCCTGGCAGAGCTGCCAACTGCCGGACCACAGCAGCCCGACGGAGCCGTAGATAGGGTTGACGATCCGCCCACAAGCCTCGTACAGCAGAGATCGAAATATAGCTGCGAGAACCAACCCAACAACCCATCAACAACACAAGCAACAGAGGTGGAACGAGTCACAGTCGGACAAGAGAGATACAGACCAGGGCGAAGGTGGTCAGGGCCGGCGTTGATGAGGTTCATGAGGCCAGCGCGGCCGTAGAACTTGGCGAGGAAGACGGTGGCATTGGCCTGGGACTCGGGGTTCTTGATCCACTGCAAGCACGGGCGGATGCTGCAGTTCTCGCTGCACCCTTTCCGCAGCACTCGGCATCCGTTACAGCTCATCCTCATGGTCGAAATCCTACTCCTACCTCAGCTAAAGACGATGGTGATGTGCGAGGAGGAGGAGGCGGAGAGAAGGGGGTATATAACTGGTGGGGTGGGAGCACGGCCGTGGGTTTCCCAGGTTTGGCCTCTGGTTTCCATGGAATGGGAAGGCCGGTTTGCCACATTTCTCATAATAATAATAATAATAATAATAATTAAGAAACTCCGTTTCATTCCCACCCTCCGCGTCCATTGGAAGCGGGCCCCATCTCACCCTCCTCTCTTGCCAGCCTCTCGGTAGATACAGATCACCGGAATCTTTCAGAGCGAGGCACGGGAGCTCGTGGGGTCCACGTATGGCCCACAGAGGATTGCGGCGGCGTCGCCCCATGTTCTTGGCTAACGAGAGGAAGACGACGGAGCGCTACCTTTCCGCGTCGAAGCGGTAGGAAGAAGATGATTCGTATTATGAGGACGAGGCGGGGAAGGGGGGAGGAAGAAGACGGAGCTCGTACGAGTAGCCGGTTTTGTGTGGAACTCGTACGAGGAGGGGGCGGCGACGCGGTGGAGGTTGTCGCGGTTTTCCCGCTTTGGAGTCGTCATCTGTGGGCGCCGGCACGATGGTTTTCCGCCTCGCCCACCGCCCCCACATGCCATGGTTTCCCAGTCCTAATCCAACCTCAATGCCACACGCTCTCTCTCTCTAGAATTTTTCGGTAGACAGTGACTTATATCGTGTCGAAGCATAACACAATCTACATATGAATTCGAGTCTCATAATCTTAAGGTAAGTAAGAGTCAAACATTTCGTGAACATCAAGGCATCGCGTGTTAGATTCTTTCCATCCGGAGCTTTGACGCACCAAAAGTCCACTCACCCATCTCGTTGATCCTTTCCATCCGAAGCTTTGACGCACCAAAAGATTCGTGCACATGGTTATACGCATCGAACTATTGGAATGTACGCAGCTCGATCCAAGCTTAGTCTCCTCCCACAGGGAAGGTCAAGTCAATTCTGATTTAAAATCCGAGTTAATACATGTTCTATCATATTAATGTTTCAGCTATCTTCCGAGTGTCAATCAATCATATAGTATTCGCATTATTGATTTCAGTAGCGGTTCTTCCGCTTTCGGAAACGGAAACATTCCCGCTGTTTTGGGGCACTTCCCTGTGTCTGACGTCACGCGCTGCCCCTTCAACCTTGGCCCATGGTTTTTTGTTTGGGCGGGGTGGCACGTCACGTCCTCTCGCCGGAATATGACGTCATCGTGCGTCGTAAATGATTGGCCGCTGCTTTCCCTTCCCCAACTCCGTGCCACGGTGTTGGAGTTCGATCGAGCGGCTGGGGATGCACCCTCAATCATTTTGGTTTGCCTTTATGATTCGTGTCAGCAGTTCTCGGGACGGAGTCCCTCGTTATCGATCCCCACAACTATGCGATCAATTCCTCTCATTCGCGATGGCACCGAATCACGAGGACGAACGGACGGACCCGATGCAATCTCGTCAGCAAATTACACGTCCGTGAACGTCTAATCTGTCCAAAATGGCAAATATCTGCTTCCCGATGCATTCCCCCCCCCACTGCTTCATCGTCATCACCCACCTAATTGATTCCATACAACTTGGAGAAACAAAAAGGAGTACTCACCGACGACTTCATCTCCCCTGCTCTGCCCTGTCATTTGTCTGTTCCCTACAAGTCTTATCCTCCAATCCAATGGGCCATGGAAGAAGCACGAGGAACCAGCATCCGCTGGAAACAAAGGGCTGGCAAATTATGGTACCGTGGGCGGCTGCCATGGTAATACAAAAACAGGGTAGACCGTGCTGCCGACTCGCCATGGATGGATTCGAGAGAAGGATGGTCGGAGTAGACCTCCTCCAGAATCTGTGGGCATCGTTCACCCCACCACCCCAGCAAACTGGGGTGGACGAAGGGGCCGGAGCTGCTCCAGGTTGGTGATGAACGGTGAACGCTACATGGGACGCGGCGAACTCGTCAATTTGACCACCCGTCCGCGTACTCGGCTTCCCGATTGGAGAACAAGATGGGCCAGCAGGTTGTTCCCGCATGGGCCCGGCGGATTCCTACGATCACAATACGGCGAGTTGAGAATGGGTACGCCGGACTTATTTTACTTCGTAATCCTAAAACGACCGCAGAAGTAAATGGCAATTGGATTTGTCAACGATTTCAGTCAACATGGAAATTGGTTCCACGGCATTGCACGTGCCAAGATCCAAATCACGAGAGGACTCACGTCCAATTCAACTTGCACGAAGCAGATGGCTGTTTAGTGCGTGTGCATTCGCACGATGCCTTCATTTAATGGATGGACACTGTGGGCTTCCTTTTCAACCTTTGCTCTTCGTGGACCGGCCCATGTCGTATGGGTCGCAATAAAAAAGACCCAACCCGACCCATCAATTCGTGTTCGGCTCACTCGGAACATAAAGAGACCAAAATTTAACCGTTCATTGAGTCTCAGCACGCATCTCAAAGACATCAATCGATTGGTGCCCGTCTCTAATTAGAAATGGATTTTCTATTTTCTATTTCTTTTTTTAATTTAATTGGAAATTATTTGTTTACGCCGACACAAACCGGTATTAATTGGATCGACGACGCCTGAAAACCCTTCTGCGCGCTGTGTTGCTGATCTGGTCGATTTCTAGGGTTTGCGGATTCAGATTCGCGAGTCTCGTGGAAGCGGAGATGTCCGCCTTGAATTCCCTCTTCAATCGAGCCCCCTTCGGGACGAGATGGTTTGCTTCTCTAAATTCGTCGCCCTTTATTTTCTTCTTGAATGCTTCTTTTCTTTCTTGATCTTCTTTGATCGAAGATCTTGAATCTTTCTTGGTGTGCCCTCTTGTCGAGGAATTCATGGTCGTTCTAGATCTGGTTGGATTATCGTCGTAGACAGTTGAATTAGACTTTCTGTTCGTACCAACTGCGAGTCAAGGACGGCTCACTCTCTTCTGGTTCCTAAGATTGATCTAGAGCTTGAAACGTTTGCAATTCGTGCTAATAGCTTTGAAACCAATGGTTTTCATCTAATTGGATATCCACTTAAGTTGTAGGGTTGATCTGCTTGGAATTTCCAAGGTTGATATCGAACTAAGATTACATAAATCTTGCATTTGTCCTGATTTGGGAAGATATGGCTAAAGTCTTCATTCATTGCCTTAATGTGATTGGAATTAGAAGATACGGCTAGTGTCTTGTTGCTAAAAGGAATAAACCATCCAGCTCAACACAAAATGTCTGAGTTTCTTGTTCAAGCATGCTATTATGCATGAACTATTTCCACCTTGCAGACTTATTACTGACTCCTAATAGCCTAGGAAACCCTTTGGTGTAAGTTCAACATTAAAAAAAGAAGGCTGTGACACCAAGTCTTATATTGTACGTTTACCATGCATGACCTTACGGTTCTGTTTTTGCTTGTGGTAATGGTAAGTCTAAAGCTTAGTGAAAATGGTTGACAGAAATGATTAGTGTCTTTACTGTTACTCTCCTATCTAGTTCAGCATTTGGATGATACAGGTTAGGAGTCTATAGAAGCTCATCATTAATTCGTATTCAGGTGTCATTATATTTTTATGAGTGTCTCTTGATCACATTTATTAATCTTGACACTTTCTTGACCATGATACTGCCATCTCTAGTTCAGTATTTGGATGATACAGGTTAGGAGTCTATAGAAGCTCATCATTAATTCGTATTCAGGTGTCATTATATTTTTATGAGTCTCTTGATCACATTTATTAATCTTGACACTTTCTTGACCATGATACTGCCATCTCTTTATTTGGAAAGTGCACTCTACTTTTGTAATTAATACCCAAAAAATTCCATCAAATCAGGCAGGCATGAATTCATTTATTTAAATTTATGCTTTCGTATTCTTTTACTTTCTCCACCTTTTCTTATATTAGAACTTTTCTTTTAATTATGATTATTACATTCTTTATACAAAGACAAAATCAGCCCCAAAGTCCCTAGAAATGCAGAAAAAACCATGAACCTATTGACTTGGACTAGAACTAGGCCTAAACTAGACCTTACTAGATTGATCCAAATCATGTCAAAGGTCAATAATTCAAGGGCTTGATTCTGTTAGAAAAATAGAAGCTCTGTTAGTCATTATTTTCTGATTAGTTAAAAGATAAAGAGGTCAATCTAATGATGTTGGAGAGAATTTTCACAACTTCTAAAAATTTGCTGTATGGTTTTTTTCCAACTGAGCATTTGAGCATATTGAATATTGAAGGAAAGCCTCACTGGTGGTGTTGAGAATCTCTTATGGGCTAGTCACCCTAACGAAAGACAGTGGAACTTCTGGAATTAAGTTAATTTTGAACACCATAAGGTGAAGATTCTAAGCCATATAATAACTATTATAAACTTCTTTCATTCTGCATACTCACATTAATCCACCATAGAGTCAAGTGAATCTTCCCTTAACTGTTTTCTGACTAATAAATCTGTCCCAATCTGGAAATTTGATCCGACCATCAGTTTTTGGGATTGGTCAACATGCCAACCTTAGTCATTCATATCCTAGCTCTATAGGTTTGATGTGTGGCAATATTTAGATTCACATGTAACTTACTCTGGCCTTCTCTTAGTCTGTGATTATTGTGGGTTGTTTTTTTCCAAATAAATATGATACTATTTGCTATGGAGGGACATTACTGAACATGGCTCTTTGCTATGGGTATATCTGATTTGTGTGCAGCAAGACGTGCTTGAATCTGGCTATATCACGGATCAAATTGCTCCGCAATAAGAGAGAATTGCAGCTTAAACAAATGCGCAAGGAGATCTCTCAATATATTCAGACAGGCCAGGAAGCTATTGCTCGAATCAGAGTAAGTGCATACACATAAACCGAACTACTCTTTTGACTCTCTATATAAAATTACTGTTGCATCTTCTGTTGGTCATTAACTTAGGTGGAGTATATCATCCGTGAACAAAATATTCTGGCTGCCTATGAGATCATAGAGTTATTCTGTGAATTTGTTCTTGCACGTGTCCCAGTCCTCGAAAGCCAGAGGTTTGTTATTTTATTGCATTTCACATTTCGTTTATGTCCTATTTTCATGTTTTCACTTTATTGGATGCACTATTGCGGTAACCTTGTTCTATTTGATGGCTTTAAGATAGTTTATTTCAGTAGGGATATGAAGAGAAGAAGAAAGAGGGCTTACTGGCATGATATTTCTTCTTCTCTCAGCAGAATGTTCACTTATCACAGTTGCTGAATGTCCCATTTTTTGTTAAAATGGTATACTTCGTCCTTGAGTAGGATATACCAATAAAGAAGGGAAAGAGTAGAAACTTATCAGATACCTACGTCATTACGAATCAGTAATTCTGTATATATACTTCTCAGATTGATTGATTTTTGTTCATAGGACTCTACTGTGCAATATAACACTGGTGAATTTTAATCTCAAGATACTATTTAGTATTTACATTTGTTGGTGAATTTACCTTATTTCATATGGTGGAGCGACACCAAATATAACCTTTCGTATGTATGGGATTCCTCTTCTGCTTTCAACAAATATAGGAGGTTTCCAAACCCTCGAAGTACCAAAATAGGCTATTTCAATCAAGGTTTGTCGTACCATAGCATACCGCTCGATATGGGCAGTATGTACCGGTCTGATAAAGGACTAGCACAGGCAGTACATATTGGTATGTCGGTATCCCTATCGTACCATGTGTTGGTACATTGGTATGACTTGGTACGTACTGTACCAAAAGCTGGTCGATACACCAGTATCGACCGTAAGGTAAATTAAGAACAGCTTACAGTTCTTCTTTAATAAGAATTCTGAAATGCAACAATATATCTCTGAAAGCAGCATCTGCTAATAAATTTTGAAGTGAAATTGTAAATAATGTACAAATATTTGGTTAACCAGCAAATTAGGAAAGGATTGTTCTCAAATTTTAATTCTAATAGTATGCTACAATGTGCAATCCATGCTATCATGGAACGCTAGAAAAATGGACTGTTTCTTTACCAAGAAAAGCCTTTTTACAATTTGTATGTGTAAGTGGATGGTACAGTAGGGTGCCATCAACAAGGCACTAAAAATGCAAGCAACTCACAAACTAATCTGACTGATGACAATGAAATTGGTGTATATATGACTGGACCTCCTCTCTTTACTGCAAATCATAGCTGCTTGGTGAAACTATAGATGCTTATGAAGAGAAATAAAATTGTAAAAATTGAGAAATCCAAATCGCATATGAACTTATGAAGTATTGAAGCAAGAGTAGTTGTTTGATATTTTTATTTGTCACAGTAAATTAGTGTGTGTTTTCAATTACAGAAGCTAAATTCACCCTCTCAGCCCAATTAATAGTGACTAAACCAAAATTTGGCCTAAGTAGGACTTTAGAGGAAAAGGAGAGAAACCAAAAATTTTGGCTTCTTTGTCGTTTATTATTATTATTTTTTTAAAAATCTCGTACCAGCCTAAAACTGTTTCAGTTGTTGAGTTCAAGATTAGTAATTTAAATGACCTATTTAATGTCAGGTGCCTAATACTGCTAATTGTGAGCTGCCAGTATAAGCTTGTATATAAAACTGAAAGAATTGAAGAATAATTCTATTCGCTACAGTATGTACTCATTAAATCTTCTAACTTTGAGATCAGGTAACCAACATACGGCTTAATTTAGTTTTTTTTACACATCCAGTCAAATATTAAACTTGTTGGCCATTTAGTAGTAAATTGGGCCTTAAGTTGCATAGAGTTGGATAAAGAAAACAGCTGTTTAGACAAAAAAAAAAATAGAAGCACATAGGCTTGGATGGTAATTTAGCAACAGGTTACAAAAGCAGTCTATGCTTTATTACTTGACTAAATGCTTTATTATGAAATCATTATTGTTGTTGCCATTCTTTAGTTGCAAAAATTCATCATGACCTATCATGCTCTTATCATCCGTTCATTCAATTGCATAAAAAAGTTCTTTAAGTTATAAACATTGATAGAAGCAGAATTGAACAAGGTAATCCAAGCTGATGAGAAATAGAATGGTTTACTTTGAGGATGGCTTCTTAAGGAAGAGCAGCAATAAAATATGCCTATAATTTAAATCTATATGCAATTAAACTCCATTATTAAGTTTGGGTTACTTTGCTTAATGTTAGTGCTCTTCTTGTACCACAAGGGTCACCATTTTTTGCCATTTAATTTATAGTTATTTTATCAATGTGACAGGGATTGCCCATTAGAATTGCAGGAGGCCATTTCCAGTATCATCTTTGCTTCTCCAAGGTGTTCTGATTTACCAGAGTTACTCCATATTAGAAACTTATTTTCAACAAAATATGGTAAGGAGTTTGTTGCAGCAGCATCTGAGTTGCGGCCAGAGAGCAATGTCAATCGCATGGTAAGGAACATTTTATCCGGTGCTGCTGTGGAATCTCAAGTGGTTGACTTTCTGCAGTAACTTCCACAGATTATCGAGAAACTTACAGCGAGAGCTCCACCGGCAGAGTTAAAGATTAAGGTTTTAAAAGCAATTGCCCAAGAGTACAATCTGGTGTGGGATTCATCAAGCACTGAAGCAGAACTTAGTAAAAACCATGAGGACTTGCTGGTAAAGTCTTTGTACTAGTTGCTTTTGCTATTGTCTTTATTATTTGCATCATCTACCTGGATCAAGTTGCTCTTGAAGTTGCTACTGCTGGTAAGACACATACTTTTCAACCCTGACTAAGCTTTCAAACTACTTTGATCTTTGGCAATTATCATATCCTGGTTCACATCAGCACTTTTATTGGTTTGTTGAGTGCCAAATTGTTTAAGAACAACTTATTGGAAAAAGTTGCCTGAGAAGACAGAAAACTAAACCTTTACATCAACAAAACAGTCTGTTGGTGATTGGTAATTTTTTACAATTCTGATCTTAGTCGGACTACTGATTTTGCCGTAAACAGAACTCTGGTGGGAATAGATTCATATTGCTACTTGCTACCCGGATAGTCAGAACATTATAAGTGGTGGTTGCTAGTGATGATTTTTTATCATTAGTCCCTTAATTTTTCTAACAATGAAAGTTGATTTGTCATCATGTTTATTTCACAATTCTCAAGTTTGCTTTACATGTTTTGGAGAATATGATTGAATTGTTTGTGCTCTCAAATTTTTTTGCATGTTAATCGCTAGTATCATCCAGTAATTCCTCGGGTCTTCTCTCCCCTTGCTGATCCATACAACATCATTCAGTAATGCTCAATTTTGTTCCATTTCATGATCCAGTGGCTTGATGCCCCTTTGAATGGCATTCATATGACTGCATAAGTAATAATTAATGTGTCATATGTAGGCATGTCACAGTCAAGGTTTCTTACCTTCCAGAAAACAATGTCAAGTTTTATCTTCATTTCTCATTTCCTTTCTTTATATGTGGACATGTTTGCTTACGGAAGGTGAAGCCAGTTCCAATCTTTTCTCTTAATCAAAGGCAATAACAGTGGCAGCTAAAGTTTTATCAGTAGGAGGTAGCTTTGCCACCATGACAGAGGTAGTGATGGCAATGACAATAGTGATGATGGTGGCCACCACTATAATTGTCTCGACAGTGGCAGTAGCAACAATGGTGGTGGTCGTTTAGAAGTAGACTGCCAAATTAGTGTGATAATGACAGTGTAGCAGTGGTGTCAACGAATAAGATGATGATGATGGTGGTTCATGGTGGTCATAGTAGCTGACATTTTAGTGGTAGTAGTAGTGATAATGGTGACCATGGCTGCAGTGGCAACATGAAGGCTTGAATCCAAGCTCTTACGAGCTTTGGCTGAGAGTGGCGGAGGACATAGGATCAAAAAGGTTAGGGAAAACCTATTGAATAACTTGCGAAACCAGTAAAAGTTTTCTAAGATTAGTGTTTTACTTTATTACTTGTAAAGATGTACTTCGTTGTTTTTAATTATCTTGCAAATCATTTAGCTGGCCAGAAAATTTTCTATAATTATACACACCTTTAGTAATTCTTATTTCTGCTGTTATTTTAATTCTTTGATGCCTTATTTTTGATGCAACATCCCACTTACCTAGCGATGCTTGCTCTCCTACTGAACTAGGTCTCTCTTCAAGTACAGAGATTATTGTGCCAATTGCAAATGTCAAAAACACATGTTACTTGTTTCATCATTTCTTTATGGAACAACACACAACAAAGGTGAAGTAATTTAGTTAATCAAACTATGCAGTAAGATCAAATTGATTATTGTTTGTCCATGAGAACCTCATTTAAAACTTTTATGCTGTAAACTCAGTCCTTGTTCTTTTGCTCCTTCCAAATTACTTTCTTGATGTTATTACAGCATTTAATTTCATTGTGTGTGGCGCAATACACTTAAATTTCATTAACATGGTTGACAAGATGCTTGAATCAGTAATACAGAAACACACAATATACTGCAATAACTCTGCATATGGTTTTCCAACTTAGTTTTATGTTTTTATCCTATATTACTTTCTGTATTTTTTTAGGAATACAATTCTCATCTCTTCATAATTTGGTTATCGTAAAATGCAGGATGGTTTAAATCCTACAAATTCACAGGCAACTGTAATTGCAAGCTCCACTGGTACTTCACAAAAGGATGGACTACCTGTATCACCTGTTAGAGAGAATCGAACGGAACAATTGCCTCAGACTTCTATCCCTTCAGTTAATAACCTTTCCTCCCTTGCAAGCAAAATCTCTGTATCGGATGATGGCAAAGCAGATGCAGTAAGAAGTGAAACTGAAGTACTGTCAATTGACAAGACATCATGTTCAAGTCAAAGTTCGTCAGACGTCTTGGAGAAAGCCCGAGCTGCCATTGCGTCTGCCGAGCGCGCATCTGCTGCTGCGCACGCTGCAGCTGAGCTTGTAAAGGTCAAATTGCCTCGCCAATCAAATAATTATAGCTAACGAAATAAGCTAACTAACAGAAGTTTATGTTGTCTATTTACGATTTCTTTGTCTGTGTGTAGATAGGAGTGTGGATCTCTAGATAAGATCCTGTTAAGATTGGGAGGTAATGTTGTTATCGAGAGTTTTCCTAACAATTATGCACATGCTTTGGTCGTCAATTATGTAACAAATCAGAGAATACACTGTCAACTAATTTATCATTCGATATATAATCATCATGTGGAGTCTACGACACACCATTCATTTGTCTACTTGTGTGGACAAGAGGCCAAAGAATATTTTACGAAATATTCATTCTCCTTTCCGCGAAATATTTCATTAAATATTCTGTTCCCTATGATATATATACACAGCATGCTAAACGGAACAGCATAATACAGTTGGATCACAACAGTCAAGAAACGAATAGGCAAGGAAGCAGAAATTACAACAAACGATAAAAGATCAACCAAGCACTTCAATCTGCATCAGCAAAGAATTACTTGGGAGCAACACAATGTGTCCATAATAATGAATTAATATGTCTCTGTATGAGAATCCAGCCATGATATGATATCATTAATGACACTTGAGATCCTTTCATCTGGTTCTCCCTCCAGAATAGAATGATATCCTTCTGCATACAGCTTGAGGGTTTTGTCTTTAGTACTGGCCTTAGCATAAAGGAACTTGCTAACATTTGGATCTGTCACCTTGTCTGCAGCTCCATGGAGAATCAGCAATGGGGCACAAACCTGGAAATTTTTGTGAGGGATCAAAATTTTGAGATACGGACAAATATGAAAAACAACAATCGTCAATGTGGAAATGTGAGTGAAAATTATATGCCTGGAAATCGTGCAGTGCAGGCAGGTGCTGGTTAGATATAAATGTGAAAGAAAAAGAAATTATTTGGTTTGGCTGTTGTGGGTAGCAAGAAAGACTGCACATAAACCAGTGGAGTGCCAATTGTGACTTAATAACACCAGCTTATATAACCTTTTATCAAGGTCATCTTGAAGCTCCAATATTCAGAATATTATGTACCAAACAAAGACTAATGGTTCGTTTCTCTTTTCTTCTTCCCTGTCATTCCTCTTACAAATACCAAGTAGGAAAAACAGTTAGAAATCGTTTTACTTGACATGCTCCCAGTTCAAGGTACCAAAAGGATAGATTTGGTATCTCAGACGATAGACTTGGGAGTTTCAAAGATGACACAGTCCATTGCTGGAACCGACACAACAGGTGTAAGGCTTCAAAGTTTTGACATGCAAGTTGATGATTGGTCTTTAAAAAATCTGATACTGGGCCATTGTAATCGTCTTTAGACCATCTCATATGAAAGCACTTGATAAACGGACAGCGATGGTTTCTCATGGATAGCTTTTCCCTTTTTCAGTTTTTCTGTTTGTTGATTGTTTATTTACTCCCAAAAAAGTAATATGGCGAGGAGATCTGACAATGCCATCAAGTCATTTTTTCTGTAAAGAACTAATATTTTGTTCATACTTCTTTTTGCTCGTCCCTAGCTAATTCTAATGTAGACAACCTGAAGTTTTTCAAACTTGGATAAATATAACAAGTGATTCAGCCTTAGCACCTTGAATTATATTCTTCAGCAACAACTTGGTATTTGATGTTACTTGCGCTAGGAAAGACAATGAAACTGAGCCTCGTATATTTTAGGATGCTTAGGTAAATGTAAGCAGATTTTTGCTATGCATGTTTCTCCTTAATAAACCGATCACCTAATCAACACTTCCATGAATTTATGGAAGTACCTGATTCATTATACCTAACCAGCCATATGGCATAAGAGTGCAAGATTTGTATATTAAGGTATTTATGCAATATGGCCTTAAAAGTTGCTATATGCACTATCCACGAATTGTCATAACAATGACAGTAATTACTTTATTAAATTTTGACTTCTTTTTAGTAGATATTCAACTCAAATTTCAGTAGCCATATATGATGAGCGAAATTCTTTTTCTTGACACTATTGGATAATCTTTGTAGCTTTTGCTTCACATGCTATCTCTAGCAATAAGGTCAAAATTCTTTGATGCTTGGTCATGTTATATCTATTCTTCTGATGCTTGGTCATATTATTGTATCTATTTTTCATTTTTGGCCTGCTGTAAGCACACTAGTTTTGCATGTTCAGTCAAGATTTTTTGTGCTACATTTTCAAAATAGAACAAAAATAGTTATGGAAATGCAGATAAAAAACTAACCTTCTCCAGTTGTGACTCAATATCACGTGTGGCCTTTGTTAGCTCAACAGCTGTTCTTAACCGCATTTGGTCAGCATATGAAATCACATTGAACTCAGCCTAGAAGGAATATTGGTAAACTGATAATAAAATCTTCGAGAGGAGAAATATAAACTATAAATTTGTGCAATATTCTACTCTTTAACTTTGTATTCTGGGAAACATTTAACACAACGAGGCGTAGCTCATAGAAGAAGAAAATTCGACAAAAATTGTAACCCAATTCAGTACAAGAAGAAAGAACTTTCAAACTGTTAGTTGGTGTCAGTTGTAGTAAGATAGCAAATGATTGTGCACTTGCTATTAAGGTTCTTATTCAAATTTAATTTAACTAAGAACTAATTGACTTCAAAATCTTAAATAGTGCTAAACTCATACAGATCTTATTTAGTCTTACTCTTCAGTAGCCTACTGATTTTCTGGGAAGACCAACGCATGTTTGCCAACTAATATAAGCACATCTATAGCTTCTGATTTTACCTGTTCAGATATCACTTCCCAGAAATAAGGTTATTTGTATTTGTCATAGGGACTACTTCCCTCAGTATAAAAATTAAGAAGACAAAGAAAAACAAGAAAATTGGACTTTTGAATTACGAAAGAAACATGCACCACAAAAATAGATTCTATGATTGTTTTAACAAGTTGTAGTCACTCATGGGACCTGGTATCATTGATTTCTCTACTGCCCAAAATTGTACGAAACAGGTGGGTACGTACGAGTCTAAGGGTGGGCCGGTACGTAGACCACCCTCATTTCAGGCAGCCTCATCTAATTCAGTACAAATAATTAAAAAAAAATCAAAAATAGCAATGGGGCCCACCAAACTCGGCATTAAAAATAAAATAAAATAGAAATTATGGTCCGCGAACATGAGCCCTCTTCTCGCATTCATCGTTGCTGCCGCTATGCTGTTTCGTGATGCTGTTACCACCGCCACTATTTCGCAATGCCACTATTAACGTCGTTGCTTCCACTTTCCTTCTTCCCAGTTATGCTCCCACTTCTTTTCCTCCTCTTCTTCCTTCTTTTTCCTTCTCCTCCTACACCGCTTCTTCTTCCTTCTCCTACTACACCGCTTCTTCTTCCTTCTTCCTCCTCCTCCCTCCTCTATTCCTCCATCGCCCCTTCCTCGTCTCCCACTTTTTCTTCCTCTCCGAAACACTGGTACATACTGGTGTACCGACACACACTACACCAATACTGACCAGTAAGTACTTAGTCTGACAGATCAACGAAATGGGTCCGATATCCGAAATAGCGATCCTTGCCTGGTATAACTGCAATTAACCAACCCAACCAAAGGTTTGTCTTTCACGTGAAGGACTTTTTTCTTGTATGTATTTTAGTTTCATATGGAGTTCACTGAAAAATTGCCAAATCTTTCTCATCGATATAAAATATGCCTCTTGGCATGTGCTAGACACTATTTAACTTGATTAGAAAGACTCACTAGAAATAACGCCTAGTTCAAACTATGTTATGCATGCTTTGGACTGCAAAATCCATCTATGTTCATCTAATTTTCAATTATTTCTTCTATTCCTTTCTCCCTGTTACATATGGAATGAGTAGGTTGTATTATTTTAGACATTCCACCAACACAAACTTTCTTGATTAGTAACTTTACTATATATGAATTACCTACAAGCCAATTTTCTTTCTGCTATGTTTGGCAACCTGCAGTATTGCTCCTTTATACGGCGAGGAATTGTTGAGGTTGAAATCTGACAGTTACTTGCTCCTCATAGTAATTGCCACAATTATATGGATTTATAGTGAATGTATCATATGAAAAAAGAAAAAGATCCAAGGTTGCTGTTGAGTTGTCCCACATTAGATTCCGTGACTCCATAGAAACATGGCATCATTACATGTTTGTGCATATCTGTGCTGTTAATCTGTATAAAACTTGCAAGGTTACTAGTTTGCTTGATAACTAACAACAATGCTAAATATTACATGTATAGCAACTACCACTTGTATCTAGAAATCTAGAATGATTTCTCATCCTAGATTCCAATTTTATCAAAATTACTAATTCCTTCAAGGACTAAAAACTTTTTTAGGTTTCTGGTGATACAAACTAGAGTTATCTATAATATCAGAATATGCAGAACAATTCACACCCATAATTAAAACATATTAGAATAACCTTAAAAATAATAGTCGATGGATGTTCAAATTTTAATAAATAAGTTGTCATGACAGTCCTAATTAATATATATCCATTTTCTGATATCAACTGAACAAACAGATATTCTGTTTTGACGAAAAACTAAAAGGGAAACCAAATCAGAGTTCATTTTGAAAGCGATGAAATGAATACAAGAGGGAAAAAACAAAAAAAGAAAAGAGCAAAACAGAGAGCAAAACAAACACAGTGAGAGAACAAGAACAGAAAAAGTAAAAGTACTACCAAAAGAAGCACTGAAAACTACTAGATTTTGATCATATTACTACAGTTTTTACATCGTTTGATAATAGGAGAAAACTAACCACTTTTCTTTTCTCGGGATCTCTGAATGCTAAATCTCCTATATTTTTCAGGGGGAATAGCTTTGCCTCAGGTAGAACATATGACATGAGAGATAATGCTTTTAAAATAGGTCCTGGTGGTGTCACCTCTTCTGCAATCTTACAACATCAGAAAAATTTAATATTGAAATGGGTAATATCTATGAATCAGCAACATTGAAGTCATACATAGAATAGATCTTGTATTTGATTGGATTCAAAGTTCTGTACAAGAAGTAGATAAAGATATATGCACTTTATTTCACATGGACAAGAAAATTGTTCAGTGATCACCTATCATAGTAGCAGATTGTAACAAAAAGGTAACAGAACATATTAGTTTGCTACTTTTAAGGATAAAATATATAACAGGAGAAATGAAAGGTCAAATGTCTATCAATATGATTCCATCCTACGTGTTATCATTATTCACATCTGAAAAAATAATTCATC